GAGGAGGAGGAGGAGGAGGAGGAGGTGGAGGAGGAGGAGGAGGACGAGGAGAGGAGGAGGAGGAGGGAGGAGGAGGAAGAGCAGGCCCTTCGGAGAATCCCTCCAGTTGGACCTGGAGCAGGAGCGGAACGACTGCACGCTGGGCTCGTCGGCCAGGTGCTGGCTGGAGCTGGTGCGCCGCGTCGGGGCGAAGAGCTCCGAGGCCGTGGAGGCCTGCCTGGGCGCCGACTCCTGGCGCCCCAGCGACGGCATCCGGAGGAGGCGGCCGCTGTTCTCGTCGTGCCACTGCGGAAGGTCGGAGCTGTTGAACGCCTCCACCTGGGACGGCTCCGCGAGGAGCGACCCCGAACCCCAAGAAAGTGGCTGCCCATGTGGGACACAGATTGACAACCCTCTGTTGCTATACATATTCCTGACTATGAGCCGCGTCTACTCCGCAGAGCGGAGGGGGGCTGGAAAGGGGCATGCCACTCATTGACAAACGACCTTGCTGCAATTCGTTGCCGTCGCTATCGCCGCGGCGACCCCCAAACCGACCCGGAAGTTTAGTTCGGGGCTGGAGATCACTCGCACAAACGTAAGAGTTCGGAAGTCCGTGCGGAGTTCTTGCACCGGCGCCCGTCCCCTCGGAGGCGCCGCCTCTGGCGCGCCGCGCGCCAGGGAGTGGGGTCCAGCGCCGACCCAATATTCCCGTGGTTCTCCGAAAGTTGATGTCTATGCAGCCAATTTCTCCCTCGACCCACCAGCGTGAGGACGGAGACGCTCGCCTCAGCCAAGGCGCTCCCCGAGATCGGCAGGTCCTTGAGCTTAAAGCTCCGATTCGCCCGCTCCTGAGGCGCAACGCTAGGGGGGGATTGGCATAGGGGGGTGGGGGGGGAACATCGACCTGGAGTCGGCGATGCATCGCCGATAGATCGGCGATATGCTCCCGACAGCCAATCCACACGTTCCTGGGTGGGATGGGGCTATCGGGCCCCTATCGGCGATCCATGTTCGATCGGGGGTCGATGCATCCCCCCCTATGCCTAACCCCCACCTATCGTTGCCCCCGAGCTCCTCCCAGCGTGTCGCCCGGCCCTCGCTGTCGCAGATAACGTACTTGTATTCCACCTGCTCGTCCTCCCCCATGTGCGGCGGGTCCGCCGCGCGCCACGTGGGGAAGTCCGCCGCAGAGGTGACGAGCGGGAGCCCGCCGGTCGGGTCCCACGAGCCGAGCGCCTCGCAGCTGCCCACGACCCGCAGGTGCAACCCCACCCGCGTGTCTGGGCATCTCACCTTGAAGTTGACCCGCCGGCTCATCTCGAGCGAGGCGGAGACTCCTCCAAGACCACCGCCTAGGGGATGGATCTTCGGGGGCCTCGGCAGGCGTTGGGCATGGATATGTTGGCCCCCCCGGGTGGCCGATTATTGGAGAGGCCTTACGGCTGGTGCCGCCGACTCTGAACGACGACGACGACGACGACGACGACGACGACGACGACGACGACGACGACGACGACGACGACGGACCGAATAGTTCCATACCCACCGCCTGCCGAGGTCTCCGAAGTTTGCGCCCCCTGGCGATGGCAGCGGACAAATCCCCGCCTCGGATCGCGGCCTGCCAGCGCCCCGAGGGGCCTGGGGGGTGTCTCGGGCGTGCGCGGGGCCTTCGCGCGCGCGCGACCTTTGAGCCAGAGTGGCTGCGGGAGGCCTCGGGCCTCTTAGGGGGGCCTTGTGGGCGTCTCTTGGGCGCCTCTTGGCGGGCCTCTGGGAAGAACGAATAGCTTTTCATGGGCGAGGTCTGCTTTGAGTCCGCGCAAGACGTCACTCCGCTGGACCCCCCAGCGGCACTCGCAAGTGGCGACAGTTTCGCAGTTTGCGGACCACCAGGGATGGCGAGGTCGAATTTGAGTCCGCGCAAGACGTCACTCCGCTGGACATCCCACTAGCCCCTCGATCGTGGCGACAGTGTCGCAGGCAGATCCCAGCCCCACACGGATGGTGAGATCTAATCTGAACCCATGTAAGGCATCACTCAGCTGGACACCCCAGCAGCCAAAGTGGCGACAAATTCGCAGATCGCAGCCCCACAAGGATGAAAATGTCCAATCTGAGTCCGCGTAGGACGTCACTCCGCTGGACACCCCTGGCAGCCCCCGAAAGTGGCAACGGTTGCGCAATTCGCAGCCCCCCAGCGAAGGTGAGGTCTGATCTGAATCTGCTCCAGGCGCCCACTATGTTGCCTCCAAACAGCCCTCGAAAGTGGCGTCGGTTTCGCAGATCGCAGCCCCCCAGGGCCGGCGAGATCTGATCTGAATCTGCCCCTGGTACCCACAATGTTGCCGCCCCCCTAGCAGCCCTCGAACGTGGCGGCAATGTCGCAGCTCGCAGACTCCCAGGGCCGGCGAGATCAGATCTGAATCTGCGCCTGGTACCCACTATGTTGCCGCCCCCCTAGCAGCCCTCGAACGTGGCGGCAATGTCGCAGCTCGCAGACTCCCAGGGCCAGGGAGTTATAGTTTGAATCTGCGCCCAGCACCCACTCTGCTGCCCCCCCCTAGCAGCCCTCGAAAGTGGCGACAGCGTCGCAGTTCGCAGCCCCACAGGGATGGCCAGGTCCAACCTGAATCTGCGCCCAGTATCCACCATGCGGCCCCCCCAGCAGCCCTCAAAGGTGACGACGATTTCGCAGTTCGCAGCCGCCAGGCCCAGCTAGGTCTAACCTGAATCTGAGCCTGGAACCCACTGTGTTGCCCCCCCAGCCGCCCTGGAAAGTGGCGGCAGTGTCGCACCTCGAAGACTCCCAGGGATGACGATGTATAGTTTTAATCTGCGCCCAGTACCCACTACGCTGGCCCCTCCGCAGCCTTCGAACGTGGCGGCAATGTCGCAGTCCGCAGTCCCTCAGAAATATGGCGAGGTCTAAGCTGAGCCTGCACCAGGTACCCACTGTGTGCTGGCCCCACCCGGCAGCCCTCAAAAGTGGCGGCAGCGTCGCACTTCGCAGCCCCACAGGGATGGCGAGGTACAACATGAACCTTCGCCTGGTGCCAACTATGTTGCCCCCCAGCAGCCCGCGAAGGTGGCAACAGATTGGCAGTAGCAGCCACCCCCAGGGATGGCGAGAAAGGGAACAGGCCGGCGAGCAGGAGAGAGCCTGGTGGGAGGCAACAGACAGGGGAAGAAGGGAGGAGAGACAGGAAGAAGGGGGGACAGGAAGAAGGGAGGACAGGAGGAAGGAAGGACAGGAGGAAGGGAGGCCAGGAAGCATGGAGGACAGGAGGAAGGGAGGCCAGGAAGAAGGGAGGACAGGAGGAGAAGAACGAGAGGGAGGAGACGCGCCCCCGGTGCTCTACCCACAGCGAGAACCCAAAAGCAGGAGGGTCGGGACAGAGACAGCGCATGTTGCCAGGGACGGCGGGGGGAGGATCGTGCTGCCTGCTGCGCCCGGGTCTGCCAGCCCTGTGAAATCACCCCAGCGACGTACCCAACCCCTTGCGCAATGCGGGGCAGAGGTGCATCAGAACTGCTACAACGGGGGCGATGACGTAACATGAGCGCCTGTGATTTTGCGAGCAGCAATCGGAAGGCTCGCAGGCCCCCGATCAAGATAACGGAAAGAGCAAGGTACGAGTGATGAGGTTCTGGTGTGGGCGAAGCCCTAAAAGGAGGGGTTCCAGGGGAGGGGGGTAGGCCGGGGGAATGGACTCTAATTGCCGTTTTCGGGTTTTCCCTCGGGTTTTGCATGTGTTCTGCATTCCCCCCCCAAGACGGCCCAAGAGCGCTCCAAGAGAGCCTAAGACCGCCCAAGACGGCGCAAGAGGCTCCCAAGAGGCCCCCAAGAGGCGCCCAAGGGGCATCCCAAGAGGGCCCCAAGGGGCCAAAATCATTGATTTTCCATCGGAAAACGTGTATGTTTCGCATATACGGCTTTTCGGCCTTCACGGCGTTGGCGACGGCCCAAGAGGCCCCCAAGACTGCCCCAAGACGGCCCAAGAGGCTCCCAAGAGGCTCCCAAAACAGCCCAAGAGGGCCCCAAGACTGCCCAAGAGGCGCCCAAGGCGGCCCAAGAGGGCCCCAAGACGGCCCCAAGAGGGGGACCACGAACCGAAAAGTCTAGCCTATCGCCCCAAGACGCTCCCAGGAGGCCCCTAGAGCCCCCCAAGAAGCCCCAAGAGGCCCCCAAGAGGCGTCCCAAGAGGCCACGAGGAGGTCAAAATCATTAATTTCCGATGGGAAAATGTACATGATTAGCATATAAGGCTTTTCGGTGTTCACGGCGTTGAAGACGGTCCAAGAGGCCCCCAAGACCGCCCCAAGACGGCCCAAGAGGCTCCCAAGAGGCTCCCAAAGGCACCAAGACGAGGGCCCCAAGACGGCCCCAAGTGGGGGACCACGAGCCGAAAAGTCTAGCCTTTCGCCCCAAGAAGCTCCCAGGAGGCCCCTAGAGCCCCCCAAGAACCCCCAAGAGGCCCCCAAGAGGCTCCCAAGAGGCCTCCGAAAGGGCCCGACAAGGGCCGCAATAGGACTCCCAAGAAGGCCCAGAGACGCCAAATAAAGAGCGCTCGGTAACTCAACAAGCTTTTCACACCAAGGCTCCCAAGAGCGAACGGTGACGTAAACAAGCTGATGAGACTAAGGCTCCCAGCAGAGAGCGGTCACGTAAAAAGCTCCTGACACCAAGGCCCAGCCAAGGCTCAGGAACGGGCGGCAACGCAACAATCTCTGAACACCAAGGCTCCCACGAGCGAGGGGTGACGTAACAAGCTCTCATCGCAGAGGCTCCCAGTACGAACGGTGGTGTGAGTAATTTCGGTTTCTGTTTCTGACGCGCTCTTTCCGTTTCTGTGCCGGGCCAGGTCAAAGGGCTACGAACTTACAAATCACCCCCGTTTGCTGTGCCATGCGCCCGTTGCACCCAACATATCCCACAGCAGCTCTTGAGAGCCCCTGCGGGATAAGTGTACGCGCAACGCTATGGCCATCGCCCGGCAGATGGTCTGTTTCACAAATCACCCCCGTTGGCTGTGCCATGCGCCCGTTGACCCAGACGTCTCCCGCAGCAGCTCTCCAGAGCCCCCCAGGGACGGCGAGGTCTCGCTCAGATCCCCGCGGTGCCTCACTCCGCAGGACCCACCAGCAGCCCTCGAAAGTGGCGACAGCGTCGCAGATCGCAGCCCCCCAGGGACGGCGAGGTCTCGCTCAGATCCCCGCGGTGCCTCACCCCGCAGGACCCACCAGCAGGCCTCGAAAGTGACGAAAGTGTCGCAGATCGTTGCCCCCCAGGGACGGCGGGGTCTCGCTCAGATCCCCGCAGTGGCTCACCCCGCAGGACCCACCAGCAGGCCTCGAAAGTAGCGACTGCGTCGCAGATCGCAGCCCCCCAGGGACGGCGAGGTCTCGCTCAGATCCCCGCGGTGCCTCACTCCGCAGGACCCACCAGCAGCCCTCGAAAGCGACAGCGTCGCAGATCGCAGCCCCCCAGGGACGGCGAGGTCAGATCCCCGCGGTGCCTCACTCCGCAGGACCCACCAGCAGCCCTCGAAAGTGGCGACAGCGTCGCAGATCGCAGCCCCCCAGGGACGGCGAGGTCTCCCTCAGATCCCCGCGGTGCCTCACTCCGCAAGACCCACCAGCAGCCCTCGAAAGTGGCGGCAGCGTCGCAGATCGCAGCCCCCCAGGGACGGCGAGGTCTCGCTCAGATCCCCGCGGTGCCTCACCCCGCAGGACCCACCAGCAGACCTCGAAAGTGGCGACAGTGTCGCAAATCGCAGCCCCCCAGGGACGGCGAGGTCTCGCTCAGATCCCGGCGATACCTCACTCCGCAGGACCCACCAGCAGGCCTTGAAAGTGGCGACTGCGTCGCAGATCGCAGCCCCCCAGGGACGGCAAGGTCTCGCTCAGATCCCCGCGGTGCCTCACTCCGCAGGACCCACCAGCAGCCCTCGAAAGTGGCGACAGCGTCGCAGATCGCAGCCCCCCAGGGACGGCGAGGTCTCGCTCAGATCCCAGCGGTGCCTCAGCCCGCAGGACCCACCAGCAGCCCTCGAAAGTGGCGGCAGCGTCGCAGATCGCAGCCCCCCAGGGACGGCGAGGTCTCGCTCAGATTCCCGCGGTGCCTCACTCCGCAGGACCCACCAGCAGCCCTCGAAAGTGGCGACAGTGTCACAGATCGCAGCCCCTTGGCAAGATGCACACACAAGAGGTACCGCAGCCAGGATGCACACACACACACACACACACACACACACACACACGCTCGCACACACACACACACACACACACACACACACACACACACACACACACACACGCGCGCGCGCGCGCATACACACACACAGAGAGACAGACACACGCACACACACACACACAGAGAGAGACACACACACAGACACACACACACACACACAGACAGACACACACACACACACACACACACACGAGGTACGCACAAGACAAGAAGAGGCACGAGGAAGGCGAGAGGCGGGAGGCGGGAGAAGGACGCGACCGCAGTGCTCTATCCAAAACGAATACCCAACCAAGGAGGGTCGGGAACCAAACATGCAAATCGAGCGTGGGCGCACGCCCGCACACAACACACCCGCCGTCGCCTTGCGTTGGTGGTTGACAGGGACGGTGGGGGGGTCGACGTATTGCCCGATGCGGGGCACCTGGTGCGCGTGTCGCAGCAGGCATGTGCGGCGCACCTCGCGGGCTTCGCGCGC